GAAAGGTATCCTTTAAGAAGAGGAAGAAGAAGAAAAAGGTAAAGATACAAATTATGAACAACAAATACACATCTATCAACAAGTGAATCTAAAAATCAAGTGAATAAATAATCTGATGAACAGAATGAACTGGTGATTATAATAGAATCAGGGGCATAGAAAGGGAGTGGATTGACTATTCTCGGGAGGGAAAGTGGTGTGGGAGATGCGGGAAGAGACTGGACAAAAATCGTGCCCCTATGGATGAGGACAGTGGGGGCGGGTGAGGGCGGAGGGTGGGGTGGGAACAGGGTGGAGGGGAGCTATGGGGAAAAAAAGAGGAACAACTGTAATAATCTGAACAATAAAGATTTAATAAAAAAAAAAAACCAACTCCTCTACTTAATGTCCCCTGGTAATGAATGACCTTCTCTGTCTTATAGGAATCAAATGGTACAGCAGATTGGGAAGTTTGCTTCGGTCTCAGCCAGCACTGTGTGTCAGTGCAACTCTTGCCTTCTTGCTTCTGTTCCTGCTCGTCCATATTCTTCTACCTTCATTCCCTCATTCATGTGTGAATGCTGACTGACCAGGGACCCTCTGCCATGCATGACTCCAGGTGCTGGATACCTGCTGGGCACCAGAACTATTCCGGTCCTTGTCCGCTTGGAGCTTACATTAGAGTGACAGGAGGCTCCTTTCCTGACCATCTTCCCTAAAATACCCATGCCCCCCCACTCCCTACCTATAATCAATTTCTTTGCCCTTTTCTTGCTCACGGCTCCCTGAAATTATTTTCGTGAGCTATTTATTTACATGTTTACTATGTCTTCCTCATTAGAATGTAAGCTCCTTAGCAGCAGGCACTTTTACTGCGGGTCACTCACCTCGAAGAGGGAGCCAGAGCAGTACCTATTTATTAAATGAATAAATACAGACAAGTTATACATGTTGAACAAAGAATAAAAACAAGAAAAGCATATAAAATTCCTGTGCGGAATCTCCCTCAGCTCAAAATGTTGCTCACCAGCTGTTTAATGAACCTGCAGTTCCATGGAAACCTGCACATTGACAAGGCCTCTCATGAAGTAAAGAGGTGACATTTGACACCACGGTGGCCTGTCATGTCCACGTGGGAAAGGGGGTCATGGGTGGGTGGGCAAGTGAGCAAATATCCACCCTCTTTGAGCACCTGCCTGGCCAGGAATGGAGTGTCAGTGAGCTGCAGGCACACCCTCTGTGTGGGCCACTGAGGCCAGGTGAGCAAGGCTGCCGGGGTTCTTGTTCTGGCATTAAGAAGGGTTCAGCAATCTGGAGAAGGGCTGTGTGTAACTTAATAAAGAGTCCAGGGACGAAACATAATTTTGAAAGGCATTTGGGGGTCAGAGGAGCCTAGCTAAAGAAACTAAGATTTCCTTGTCTCAGGACCCCATGTTTTTTATTAACACAAATTGTCCTGAGGGGAGGCAGGACATCAAAGGGTCAGGTTTCATATTACAGAAACATTGTCAGAATTGGGAAAATGCCTACAGCTGTTCAGGTATTTGGCCAGTAGGAGGCAATAATATGTAGATTAAGATGCCCTGAGCTGTCTGGCAGCCAAGCAATCATCCCTTTTCAGGTTTAGGGAAATGCCGTCAGCCATTCCAGATGATTCAGTCCTTGCTGACATGCTGGAATTGGCTTCCGGCACAAGGCCAGTTTTGGAGGTGGTGGTAGGAGAAGTGTCCTTGAGATTTCAAAGTACTCCTGTCTTTGGCAGAGGTTGAGAAATGTTAGATAATATAACAACGTTGCGGATTATCATCTTGAGTAAAAACTAAAGGGATAACAGACCAACTGGTCTTTGCCTCTTCCTCTTCGGCCGCTGTGTACTCACTGCCCAGAGAAGCGTCCTCCCTGAGTCTGGGAAGGTTCTAAAACAACCCAAGAGAAGAAAGATCCTGAAGAACTGGCTTAGGAACAGCTGTGGGGCTACCCCACTGAGCATTAAACTATTTTTATTCTGGATGAAAGTCTTCCTAGAACCTAGTATATACATATTTTACTTTTCAATACGTTAACTGCTTTCTTTTCTTCTAAAAGACGCTGTAACAAACTCAGTAATGCTTTCTGAGGCATTAAGGATGTTGTCAGAGAGCTTGGGTTCAGAGCCTGGCACTACCCCTCACCAGCTGGCGAGTTAACACTCTGTGCCTCGGCTTCTTTATAAATAGGGATAATAGATAATATTAGCACCTGCCTCAGATGGTTCTTGTAAGGATTAAATGAATTAATACATGTAATGGATGCAGCACTCTGCATGGTGCGTAGTATTGCTTGGAAAATGTTAGCTACTGCTGCAACTACTATTACTGCTACTATAGCAATATTTTTTTTCTGGGTACTTTGTGCTCATTATACATGTCTTAACTTACTATAACATGCTCCAACCCAGAGATACCTTTTTAAAGGCACAGTTACTGTCTCTTACATGAAACAGTCCTGGACTGACTCACTGCAATGTTCTAACGTGCTGTTTTATAGTTTCCTATTTTCCTTTGTAAGGTCTCTGATTTTCCACTTCTACTATTGCCAGTCATTTCTTCTATCTCTGTCAGCCTCTTTCCATGCTTCCATTTTTACAAGGGGGCATAAAACCAGTAAACCAGGTTTGTTAGTCCTGTGTGTTAGTAAGAGCTGTATGTTCTAAACTAGGTTGGCAAAGCTCTCCGAGGAACAGAAGTAACCTCACTCCACAGACATCTCTTTTGGCTCTTCAGAGGTGTTTTATCTCCTGATTAGACAAATATAAAAAGTCATATGAAAATTAAGTCTCTGGTGAGACAGATATAACTATGGTTATATAGACATGTTAAAATTAAAAAGCCTCTAATTAGTTCAAATAAATGATCATTAAACTCTTTCTAGAGCTAGATACTGGGGGGAAAAAAAATGAATGATATAGTCCTGAACCCCATGAAATTTGCAATCTAGAGGGGAGATAGAGCATAAACAAACACTGTCAAGCTAATACAGCACAAGACACCCAGGCTTTGTACACTGGGTGCTGTGGGCGCCCAGAGAAGGGCCCTGGGTGATCCTGGGGTGCAGGGCAGCTTCCTGAGGAGGAGGTGCTGAGCTGAGACGTGGCAGCCCAGTGAGCAGAGGCTGAAGGGGCTGTTCCAAGCCTGGGAACTGAGGCGGGAACCAGGTAGGAAGCAGCGTGGTGCTTCTGTGAGAGAAGGTGTGTGTGTGTGTGTGATTAATAGTTTGATATTGATATGATAAGAAAATGCCCTCATGTGCCATGCCAAGAGGCTTGGATATTACTTATGAAGAGATGAGGAGCCATTAAGACACATCTAAGGAAAAAATAGCCATTTTCCTTTCAGATGTGTAAAAGGAGAGCATTGTGAAAGCTAGAGCAAGGCAAGGAAAGACTGGGAGAAGAGAGGCCAATGGGGTGTCTGGAGCAGTTAAGGCCCTGAGGAGGACAAACAGCAGTGTAGTGAGGAAGCGAGGGGTCCTGCATGTATTTTGAAGATAAAAGTGGACGTTTCTGGTGAATTACCAGATGAGGGGTCCAAGACTGAGAGGACGACTGCCGGGCTTTCGGCTTGAATTAGTGGTTGGATGAGAGGACAATTAACTGAGAGAGAAACAGCAGTTCTTTGTTTTGTTTTAAAATTTAATTTTGTTTTTCTCTTTTGAATAGTGGGCATAGGAAGATAAAATAATGAGTTCAGGTTCAGTTTGAGTTAATTATTATAGAGATCAGAACTGAAGATATAAATGTTAGAGTAATTAACAAATAGAGCCAAGAGAGCAGATCAGAAGGCCCTGAAACCGTGTGAAAGGAGGGCAGCAGAACCAGGTAGGGTGGGCCCAGAGGACACCAGTGCTGAAGGGGGAGCAGGACGGTGGCCGTGAGCGGACCGGGGACACACACGGAGAGGTGCAGAGACCAGTGAGTTGTACATGGAGTGGGCAATAAAGAAGCTAAACACACTGGTAACAGCTGCATTTTCTGAGGACTCACTACATATGCATCAGGCACTGTGCTGTGTTATACCTTGTACCATCTATTACACTCTACATGGCGAATCTGAAGTTCAGCGAAGTCATGTCACTTACCCAAGGTCACAGGGGGAGCTGGCAGAATTGGGATCTGAACCCAGGTCAGATGGATTACAAAGCCCATGTTCTTAACTTGGAGCAAAGACCTTCTTCAAGATGCAGCTTAATATTATCATAATGAGGACTGCTGTATATTGCTTTTCGAGAAGCGTAACTTAAAAACTATTTAATCATCTCAAATAAATATTTAATAGGTAATGAGGTCATTATACAGTTGATCATTTTGTATAATGAAAATATATTATTTCAGTGATATATTTCTTCATAATCTTTTTATTTCGTAAACACTATACTTATCAAATTGTGAGGACATGCCCTAACCGGTTTGGCTTGATGGATAGAGTGTTGGCCTGCAGACTGAAGGATCTTGGGTTCAATTCCAGTCAAGGGCATATACCTTGGTTGCGGGCACATCCCCTGTGGGAGGTGTGCAGGAGGCAGCTGATCGACATTTCTCTCTCATCGATGTTTCTAACTCTCTATCCCTCTCCCTTCCTCTCTGTAAAAAATCAATAAAATATATTTTTAAAAAATTGTGAGGACAATAAAGTGCAATACAAGGCAACTTCTCATTAGAGCCCTGCTCCCGTAAAGCAAAGGGGAGCTCCTGGGTGGACTAGTCATGTTCTTCAGAGAAAAACTCAGTGCCCTGGGCTTAGACACCTGTCTGCTGAGTTTCCCCACAAATATTACCTCTGGTCTCAAGGAAGACCAGAAAGGGTATCACAGTGTGCGCAAACCTGCTACAAACATGGAAAAGCTCATTAAAAGCGGTATCCTGCAGAAAGTATGCTTTAGATGATAATTATCTATTTAAAGATAGAGAATAAGAAAGTCATTCCTATTATAAAAGTTGTAATCTTCCTATTTCCCACTAGAGGAAGCAACAGCATTACTCTTACCATTTGGTGGGTAAAAGACAGCATATTCTTCTATTCCTAGTTTTCCTAGAAGAGAAAGCCATAGAGGATTTTAGTCTGATTAAATAAACAAAACAAAAAAATTAACTCACTTTGTGAATGTACTAATAATTAGTGGAATTTTAAAAAACTACAATAGTAACACTGACAATAGGGTGGTGAAGGCCTGGGGTGGGGAGTAGAGGTGGGCTAGAAGGGGTCAATGGGGAAAAAAGAGGGACATATGTAATACTTTCAACTATAAAGATTAAAAAAACAAAACTACAATAGTAAAATCTCATTTCATTTTATGGTATGAAATTAATTTGAAAATATGCCAGTCAACCTGTTGATATTATAAATCCTTTCATCAATTGAAATCAACAGTATAAACTTAAGTAGAAGGCAAGTGATACAAAATAATTAAAAGAACAAATGCTTTCAAGCTTCTTGAGCTTAGAATTGTTTTTGCTAACTAGAAACAGCTCTAATCTATTCATTAAAGCAAGTCTTAAGCTTTGCAACGCCTCATTAGTTTACATTTTTATAGAATGTGTTGAAAAGTTAAAAATTAAATGTCTTTAACTATATGGTGGTAATACTTTCTGAATCCCAAAACAGTTCATATGTTCCAAGGCTAAATATTTGAAATCAAAATTGTCTCAAAATATTAAAGTATATGCATCATATTCAAATGTTTAAAAGAGTCTTTAAAAATAGCTTTTCCTCAAAACTTTTAAGGTTCTGAGTTTTCCCCCACCTTCTGAATATCTTTAGGAAGTTTTTATGTTTATATTGATAGTCTTTCTAACACTTTGAGTCTATGGAAAAGTCACATGCAATCTTGCTCTAAACTTTAAGGTAGTATTTTTAATTAATTCTAAAAAAAATTTTTTATTCTTGTAGGGGGTGGTGGCAAAGAGAAAATGAAGATTAAGAACCATGACTAGTTTAAGTGAAGGTGGAGACAACAGGATGGATCGTGTGTATAAGGAGAGAATGGAATAAGGAAAAATAGATGATTGACAGATAAGAAAGAAAGAAAAGACCACCTGGTGGACGCTCAATACTGGGTTAGATGTCAAGAGGCAAACAAAATAAAAATATAAGGCCAGTCCCTCCATCATGTGGCCTATAATCCAGGCTGGAACATGAAACACTGAGGATATGTTTGCGAAATTTTCTGGCACAGGCTTTAAGTGTTTTAGAGGTTGAGAGGAGAGAGAAATTGATGATGGATTGATGGCTCAGTGGGATACAGGCTAGTTCTTCAAGGACATATGATTTTGGGGGAGGAACAGTGGAAATCCTTCCAAATGAGGGGAGCATCTGGAATATGGGGTAATGTGGGGTAATCAGGAAAGCAAAATTAGCTAGGTTAAGACAGGAGCAACTGATGGACGGCCTTAAAACTTGGCTGAGTTAAGAGGTGATTCCATTAGACAATTAAGTTGTACAATCAGGTTTTTAGCAAATAATGTTAAAGAAACAAGCAAACAAAAGGCTTCTATAAGTTCAAGGTAGGAGCAATGGAACAGAGAGAGCCCCCAACTTGGGTGGGGTAGCCTGATCCCAGCATGTGATGGGGCTTGTCCTAGGGCAGGGGTTGGAGGAATCAGGCAGACACTCAGACTTAGTAGGTACAGGAGAAACTGTTTCTTTATGGGGACAGCAGAGGGGCCACACAATAGCTTTTAAGTGCTGGGTGTTTACCACTTAACAAAAGGAGAAGTTGGGAAAGGGTTCCAGGTGAAATTAGTTCAGTTGTCAGGTGATGCAGGATTTTGAAATAGTGATACTATCTTGTAGGCAGCTAGTGATAAAGAGGAGAAAAAAGCACTAAGAATTACTAGCATACAACTTATACCAAAATTTTAAGTGTTGTAGAACATTTTGAGAGAAGAAATATAGAAAATTAAAAAATTAGAAAAGCAAATTCATGTGGTAAACTTATAAAAGGGAAAATAGAAGTCAACAGGTAAGACAAAAACAGCAATAGAGAGAGCAAATAGTCTTGCTATGATAATGTAAGTGTTAAAAAATATGTCCTTGCCCTGGCCAGTGTGGCTCAGTTGGTTGGAGTGTCATCCCATACACTGAAAGGTGGCAGGTTTGATTCTGGTCAGGGCACATACTCAGGTTGCAGGTTTGATCCCTGGTTGGGGTGTATGTGGGAGGCAACGGATCAATGTCTATCAAAAAATAAAATAAAGCCATTAAAAATACTTCCTTTATGTTACTAAGATTTTACCTCTTATGTATGATCTTGGTGGTGAAGCACTGTTGTATGCAAAGTGACCCAACACAGACGTATCCCGGGAAAAACAAAGTAAAACCTGGGTATAACAATAGATAAAACAAACAATTAAGCACTGTTTAATTTCTTGCTATTTCCTGGTTGGGAGGCACTGAGGTAGAGTCTTTCAAGTTCAGTACCATGCTTAGCAATGGGAGGAGTGCCCTCTATTGGTATATCCACGGTAAGTGCAACCAAAAATGCAAGTTGCTGACTACCAGTTGATTCTTTTATTGTGTTTTGTAGTTGCAAATAGAAAAACATGGGGAAAAATTAACATGAGAAGTGTATGAAGACCTAAGGAACTGCAGTGATATAGAGCAGCTTGGAAAGTGCAGGAAACTAGGATTGCTGGGACGCAGCAGCAGGCGGCTGGGCATGTCAGGGTGGGAGGGAAGGCAACTCAAGATATTTAGAAGGAATGGCAGGTGCAGTGGAACAAGAGGCAGCCCAATGCATGTTAGAAGCTGACCATCCTACCAGTAGGTAGAGGGTGGGAGTACACCTGAATCAAGAATGTCTATTGGGAGGGACCGGGTTGCTGACACCAGCCTGGGATTTTGGGGCAGGGGGCCAATCTTCAGGAAGGCAATTAGTGACAGGAAATCTGGGTCTTCGTATTAGAAGACCTGGGGTTCAAGATGTTACTAAGAAAATAAGTTGAAAATGACTGGAAAAGGCAAGGCCAGTTCACAGAACAGGAACACAGAGTCAGGGCTGGACCAGAGCAGGAGTGAGTAAACAGGGGAACTATGGGTTCAAGATACAAGAAAAGGGTCAGCTTTAGAAAAATGATAAATATGAAGATTGAGCAGCAGTCAGGCCTAAGGGTGAAATGTGTACCAACCATTGCCACTGATTAATTTTATTATATTTTAAAATACTAAGAAATATAGATAATCAAAATAGGAAAAGCACTGATAATCCAAGCATTGTTAATATTTTTATGTATATTCTTTCAGACTCTTTTTATACACACATATAAAATTTTCAAAAATAGGATTATAATACTGTTCTAGAACCTCTTTTCTATCCATCCTATAAAATAAATATTTCCTACCCATATTTTAATGTGTATAATATTCCACTATATGGATCAACAAGCTTACTTAACCTATCTTTTTTATTGATCATTTAATTATCTCCAGTTTCCCCACATTATAAACAATGTCACAGTGAACTTCCTTATATCTAAACTAGAGGCCCGGTGCACAAAAATTTGTGCACTCAGGGCGATCCCTCAGCCCGGCCTCTGCCCTCTCGCAGTCTGGGACCCCTCGGGGGATGTCCACCTGCTGGCTTAAGCCCACTCCCCAGAGGATCAGGCCTAAGCTAGCAGTCAGACATCCCTCTGGCAGCCTGGGAGCCCTTGGGGAATGTCCACTTGCCAGTGGGGAGCAGTCCTAAGCTGCAGTCGGACATCCTTAGCACTGCTGAGGAGGCAGGAGAGGCTCCCACCACCACCGCTGTACCGGCAGCCATCAGCCTGGCTTGTGGCTGAGCAGAGCTCCCCCTGTGGTAGTGCACTGACCACCAGGGGGCAGCTCCTGCATTGAGTGTCTGCCCCCTGGTGGTCAGTGTGTGTCATAGTGACCAGTCATTCCCAGTCGTTCTGCTGTTAGGGTCAATTTGCATATTACCCTTTTATTATATAGGATACTTATGTACACATTAAACTCCTAAACCCAGACTAGATGTCTTGTCAAGTGATGGACATTTTAAATCTAAAGTTTTTGATACACATTGCCATATTGCCCTCCAGAAACCAACAGTAAGATAATACTAATTTTCTTTTATTCTCATCAAAATGGGTTATCATCATCTTATAGGTAAAATATGGCCTCCTGCTTTAATTACACTCTTCCATTTGCATTTCTTTTATTTTACAACTAGAGGCCCGGTGCACAAAATTCATGCGGGGGGGTGGGGTGCGGGTGGCGGGGGGGCATCCCCTCAGCCCAGCCTGCAACCTCTCCAATCCAGGACCCCTCGGGGATGTCTGACTGCTGGTTTAGGTCTGATCCCCGTGTCTGACTGCTGGTTTAGGCCCAATCCCCAGGATCGGGCCTAAACCAGCAGTTGGACATCCCTCTCACAATCCTGGACTACTGGCTCCTAATCGCTCACCTGCCTGCCTGCCTGCCTGGTTGCCCCTAACTGCCACCCCACCCCCCCCAGCCTGATCACTCCTCACTGCCTCTGCATACTGGCCTAGTTGCCCCTAACTGCCCTCGGCTGCTGGCCAGGTCACCCCCAACTGTCCCCTCCCTGCCGGCCTGGTCGCTCTTAACTGCCCCCCCCACTGGCCTGGTCACCCCTCACTGCCCCCCCTGCCAGCCTAATTGCCCAAATTGCCCCCCCTGCTGGCCTGGTCACCCCCAACTGCACCACCCCCACCGACCTGGTTGCCCCTAACTGCCCTCCCCCCCCCCCCACCGGCCTGGTTGCCTCTTACTGCTCACCCTGCCGGCCTGGTCACCCCACACAGCCTGCTGTTCAGTCATTTGGTCATCCCTCACTAACCCCCCCTGCCAGCCTGGTGATAGGCAGCCATTTTGTGAAGGTGTGAGGGTTAATTTGCCTATTACCTCTTTATTATATAGGATTTGTCATCTTAGTCCATTTTAAAATGGATGCTTTTTAAATTATTGATTTGTTTAAATTATTTGTATTTTAATGGTTCTAATATTTCATTTAATTATATATTACAAATGGCTTTGTTCAAATAGTTTATTTTTGACAGAGATATTTTTAATACTTATATGTTCAAGTCCATCAATACTTTTTTTTCACACTTAAAAATTCCTTACCCACATTTATAACACTCTCTACATGTCCACCTAAATTATGAAAGTGGTTGGTGATGTTTATCAAATATTTCAGGTTCTTCCCCTTTGGGAACATATATCAGCTTATCTTTTCTGGCATGCAAATTTCCATCTGAGTCTACTCCCCTGGGAACCCATATTGCAACATAGTAGAACTGGGTGGAAATGGTCAATTCTAAATACAATGTAAAGGCAGGACCAGTAGAATTTACTAACAGATTGGATGGTGTGTGCAAGAGAAAGACAGGAATCAAGGGTGAAGCCATGTAGAAGGATGCTTGATCTGAATAAATGAAAAGATGGAGTGCCCTCAACTGAGACAAGGAATGTTGAGTGGACCAATTTTGGGAGTAAGATCAGAGGTTCAGTTTTCAACATTCTAAGTTTCAGATATTTACAAAATATCTAAATAGAAATGTTGAGTAGGTAATTGGAGATACTAGTCTGAAGTACAAGAGAAAGGTTTGGACTGAAGATGTGAATTTGAGAGTTCTCAACATATAAATAGTAATGAAAGCCACAAGATAGATGAGCTTGGTGAAATCACCAAGTGAGTTTAACTAGAGAAAAGAAGGCTAAGAACTGAGATCTGGACTACTTTACCATTAAGATCTTGGGAAGAAGAGAAGGAACCAGTTTAGGAGACTGAGGAGTAACCAAGAGAGGTGATTGCACCTTATGTGTCCCTGTGAGTGCTGTGAGTTACTGGGAGATGTAGTGTGCTTCTAAGTAAGAAGGGGAAGTCAGGTTGTAATAAAAAGCGTTTCTATGTATGCATTTCTAGTAAACTGCCTGATAAGAGTTAAAAAAAAAAAAAGAACCTGAGAACCTGTATCTCCATGGTTCTAATAAGTTATTATTTTTCCTCTTACTCTAAACAAGTATACATCAGTTCTTTTTTTTTTTTTTTAAAATATATTTTATTGATTTTTTACAGAGAGGAAGGGAGAGAGACAGAGAGTTAGAAACATCGATGAGAGAGAATCATCGATCAGCTGCCTCCTGCACATCTCCCACTGGGGATATGCCCGCAACCCAGGTACATGCCCTCGACCGGAATCGAACCTGGGACCTCTCAGTCCGCAGGCCGACGCTCTATCCACTGAGCCAAACCGGTTTCGGCACATCAGTTCTTAACTGAATTTATATTTGTAACATTATATTCTTTTTCTTAAAGAGAGCCCCCCAAATTGTATAAGCTTTAGGTCCCCAAAATGTTGAATTTTCCTCTGGTGACCAATAAAGTAAGAGAGAAAACAAAGAGTGTGGTGTCTTGAAAGCCAAGTGAAGCAAGGGCACAACTGGATCAAATTCTACTGAGACATTAGTTAAGATGAGGATTGAGCATTGGTCATTAGATAAATGGTAGGACACCATATGCAATGTTCAGTACCTTATTATTTTTTAACAATGTATTTTAGCAATCTTTTAATACCGGTATCTATACCAGTGATGGTGAACCTATGACACGCGTGTCAGAGGTGACACGCGAACTCATTTTTTTGGTTGATTTTTCTTTGTTACATGGCATTTAAATATATAAAATAAATGTCAAAAATATAAATCTTTGTTTTACTATGGTTGCAAATATCAAAAAATTTCTATATGTGACACAGCACCAGAGTTAAGTTAGGGTTTTTCAAAATGCTGGCACGCAAGCTCAAAAGGTTAGCCATCACTGATCTATACTAATAAAAGGGTAATATTCTAATTAGACCAGGTTGACCGGACATCTTCTGGATGGCCGACTTCCTTCCAGACAAAGCCACAGTGGAGGGGGCTGAGGCAGAGGCGGTTAGGGGCGAGATCAGGCCAGCACGGAGGAGCAAGCAGTTAGAGGGCGATCAGGCCGGCAGGGGAGGGCAATTGGGGGAGATGAGGCCGGCAGGGGAGCAGTTAGGCGGTGATCAGGCAGGCAGGCAGAGGCATGATCGGGCCTAAACTGGCAGTAGGACAGCCCCCGAGGGGTCCCAGATTGGAGAGGGCACAGGCCGGGCTGAGGGACATTCCCCCCATGTGTGAATTTCGTGCACCAGGCCTCTAGTCCTATCTAATAAAAGAGAAACATAGTAATTAGCGTACATCCGCTACCCTTCCCATTGGCTAATCAGGGCGATATGCAAATTAACTGCCAGCCAAGATGGCGGCCGGCAGCCAGGCAGCTTGAAGCGAACATGAGGCTTGCTTGCTTCAGTGACGGATGCTTGCAACG